CAGTTAACAATACACATACTTATATTAATAATCAATTTATTATTACTGAAAATTCAAGGTGTTACATAACTTCTATAGAATGTTATATTAAGCAAGTTTGAAATTAACTAACACTAAATAAATATTTCATTGACTAAAAAACTAAAAAATGTCATGGGGTTACAAACAAAACTAGTAAAAAAATAGTATTAAAAATGTAAAATTAAAATTAAAAGGTTATAAAAAAATTCTAAGTATACGAAAGGAATAAATAAAAAATTGAAAAAATAAAATCTAGAAGATGTCATGTGGTAATTTTAACAGATTATTTTTGTATTAAATATAGATATATTATCTTTCCAACGACAACGTTAGAAACAAAATGTCATGTGGTAATAACTTTATTTAAAAAGAAAAACAATTATTATATCCGTGAAGTCTGCCAAAGGTGTCAACGTACCAAATTTAAAAACAAATCACGGCAAAATAAAAAAAAATTATTAAAAATAAAAACATATAAAACATGTAATAATTATTTAACACTTAACTTCTTGGTCTCTTATTGTATATTTTAGTTAATTTTAAAATAATTGTCATTTTATTAATGCTTTTAAATAAACTCTTCATGTAGGTATCTCTCCTAAATATTTAAATAATATTAGCACTATAACTTTTAAAAAAATATTTTACATAATAATTTTTATAGATAATAATTTTCGTAAAATATATATTATTTTAAAAGACAAATAATATAAAGGAAAAAAGTACTCGTTGAGTAATAATTTTTTTTTTGATATTTTTAATTAATATCTTTAAAATACTTACCAACACAATTCAATAATTATAATCCTTAAGGACAACAAGACAACTATGTCACAATAAAGAAGTTATTCTCTCATCTTTTCAAATCTTATATTTTTCCATTTTGTTTTGTTTTTATCTAATGTTATTAGATATTGTAAGCTTGTTACACTTTGATTATAAGATGTGTTGATTCTTTTGAGAAACGAAATCGAGAAGAAAGATTTTATAGAGAGAGAATATTTTTTTAGTTTGGATGCGTTGTCTGTTTCTGTTCAAGTTTATTATAATATTATACAACTTTTACAATGACATAAAAATAATAGAAAATAAAAACATTTAGAAAAATATTATATTAAATTTTTTATTTTTTCTTAAATTTAATTTTGTATTATTATCATTATAAAAATACTTTTTTAAACAATTTACTTATTTCATTTCAACATCAAAAGCTAATCCAAACAAGTTAAAATTATTTTTGTTTATTTTTATTTTTTTTAATTCTACTCATTCAAATATGTCGTAACCGGTAGATTACAACGGTATAGCTAAAATGTTTTAAGAAAAATATTTTTTAAGAATAAAACTCTAAAAAAAACAAAAAAGTCGCTATCATGACCCATTTTTTATAAAGGATCAATTACATCCTATATTACCGCTCCTAATTCAAATTTTATTCATGAGATAATACATATATGGTACAGGAAATAAAAGTTTTCAAAAATTAAACTTCCACATTTCAACAATAGGGTAACAAACCCCAAAGACATTTTCATATAATTCAAAACTATATAAGTGTATATCTTTACGACGATCACTCTACATGAAGCTCAAAATACAAAATCTTTGTATAATAATTACATTTCTTGGAAACCATAGCTAAATAGTCTACACCTATTACTAAAACCTAAATTAAAAAAATAATTTAAAGGTACAATTTTTTTTTTAAAGTATGTCGACTCCGACATTCCTCAACCATATCTTCCAGCTTAAGAAGTAGCTACAACACATGTCACCTCTACTCACGAAGTAGCTACAACACATTGCAAGACACACACACCAACATAGACAAAAAGTAAGGATGAGCTTACGAAAAAAAATTACTATCATATATATATACACACATACACACACACTAGAATACAAACATAAATATTTGTACAGCTTTCAATAATTCTCAACACATAACGCAGCAATACAGACCATTATCAACTCATTTAATGGAAACAACAACTCAGCTCCAACTGACATCACAACATTAGTAAATCCAGAAGGAACCTACAATCTTCTGGTCTGGAAGCAACCCATTCTAGAACCTGGATTCAGATAAAGCACAACTCAACTTGACATGTTTTCCAATCGTTACATGCCTACACCCTCAACTCAGCATGTCCCATAATCGTTACATGCAGGATGTTTCCTTATCATTACATGCCTACAACCTCAAAATATGTGACTTCGCCCTTATGAGGTAACATTTCATACAAATGCAACTAAGCCATATGGTAAGCATTTTAACATGTTATTTCACAACATTTCTTAGCCAGTCTTAGCACTTTATACTACAACATTTTAACAATTATCTCAAATATAAACAATTTCATACCAGTCACAAAACAATATAAAATTTCATCGCATAAATCAGTCTAATACATTCACCAACAACAGTCAATCCACCTAGCCATGCTTACTCAGTATTCTTCCCTAAGGTTTGTTTATAACTGGCTTACTCTTAGCTAAGACAAAGTTATACATATATATTTCTTAGTATCTAGTAAATGGATAAAGGCAGCTCAAGTAAACTCTTCTTACCTGAAACTAAATTTCCTTAAATTGGACTCCACGCAAGTTTCTAAAGAAAGAAATGACAATTAAGAGCTCAGATCTCCTCACAATTAGGAAAAAGAAACTTTTTAGAGAAGAGAAATTTAAGAAATAAGAAGCAAGGTTAGAGAATGAAATCTTAGGAGCTTACCTATATCCACACTAAACTGAGATTCCCACTTAGATCAGAAAGAAGCTCGGGCTTGAGAAGGTTTTCTTTAAAGGAATAAGATGAAAGAACAAAAAGAAAATTAGAGAAGAAAGCTGTCTAGTGAGAAATGAACATTTCTCGGCACTGGGGTTCCTTAAATACCCCTTCAGGTCAAACCAGACAGCGGAATCTCTCAGATTTTTACTATTCTCACTTGAGCGAGGAACGTCTTTCCTGAACGAGCAATGTTCTTACCTAAGTGAGATTTGGTCCAGAAAGCTACCCATTTTTCTTGCGACTTCTCGTTTGAGCAAACTTCTCTTGTCTGAACGAGATATCTTCTCACCTGGGCGAGGGGACAGTTGAAAAATTCCTATCCTCTTTTGCTTGAGCGAGACTGATCTTGTTTAAGCATGATCACTTTAGTATGCTTAATTCTGCACGACTCAGTCTTACTTGAGCGAGAACCACCTTGCCTGAGCGAGATACCCTGCACTCAGAACTCCCAATCTCTCTTCCAAATAAGGCAATGCAAGTCTCTGGCCATAATACCTAGGTTATCACATGTACAACACACTTAATAATCAATCTCTGACTCGCATTGCTAATCACAACCAACATCACCTTCACACATCACTATGAATACATTGTTCCTTATCCATCAATCATACATCTTTCACATTTATATTACAACATATGGATAGTTTACATAATTCAGGCATATACAACACCACCTAAAAAGAATATTTCATATATAAAAATATACAAGCCTAATAGTCGCCACCAAAGTTTATAAAAAGAAAAAGCCTTAAAAAACTATGAAAGATGATCTTTAAAACTAAAATTTCCTTTTCGTTTAAAACCTTGGCACATATCTAAGCTACGATCCAATGAAAAAGAAAAAGATAGAATGAAAAAAAAAGTGAAAAAGAAGAACTTATGTTTTTTAACAATTTGGGGAAGGGAAGTTGAATTGCTCTTTTTTGATTCTCCAAACAATCAATTTTCTTTTTGCGATCCTATTTTTAAAGAGCTTTAAAAAATTTTGAAAAATTCTTTTTTTTGAGCCACCAAAGTTTGTTAAAAAAAACCTTAAAAAAAATTTTGAAAGATGATATTTGAAACAAAAAATGAGTTCGAGAGCATATAGGAAAGGTATTAACACCCTGAAATAACGGTTACCTTTAATTAATTGTGAAAATTTATTTTAATTTTAAAAAATATTTATTTAATCCCTAAATAATAATTATTTTTATTTTTATTTTAGGAAAAGATAAATTATTTATTAAAATGTTAATTGATATCTTAAAAAAATTATTTTGACTGAATAGGTTTGATCCCCTTCTTATGTATCCTCAAATGTAATAGAGAATTCAAAGACAAGTAATTCTATCTAAAAGATTATAAAATTAGTAGATTAAATTAAAATAGAATTTTATTATCAATATTAAGATATTTCTTTTATCAATTTTTTCTTTGAAATACATGATTTTATGATTGTAAACTGTTGACGGTGTTTTTTTATTATATTTATTTAATTTACCTAATTGTAAAAATTTTAGCATTACTAATGAGTACTTATTAATATATAGTACTTATTAATATTTAATTAACTATTGTAATTTTTTTAGTATTTTAAAAGTGAAAAGATATTAATATCTTTTTCAATTAAATTACTAATTTTATTATTTATCAATATAAAATTAATGATAAAAATTATTTCAAATATTAAATTCTCTCAATTACTAGTAAATTTTACCGAATATAAAACATGAACACATCGTAGATGGTCCATCATTGATTGCATGGAATCTTCCTTTTTCTTGTTGCTCATGCTGCAAAACCCTTCCTTAGTAATTTTTGTCATTAGATTCTTTTAATCTATAGAAGTTATTGAACTAGTCAAGTTTACTTTCTTTATTATTGTAAACTGATGACGGTGTTTTTTTATTATATTTATTTAATTTACCTAATTGTAAAAATTTTAGCATTACTAGTGAGTACTTATTAATATATAGTACTAATCACGGGCAAGATTCTGAACACATATGATGAGATGATTAGATTTAATTTAACAATATTTATGATAAAATAATCAACCAAATGAATAATTGAGTGATTGACAACTTGCTTTGGCTCCCAATCCAAGAAGGGAACTCCCTAATATAAAATCGTATAGAAAGAAGGTAGCTATTGTATGTGAAAGTACAATACACCAATAAAGTTAGGGACTCCACAGCATACAATGGCTTTTCCTCTTCCTGTGGTTGACTTCAACGATGAAAACCTCAAGCCTGGTAGCGAAGCATGGCATTCAGCTTGTGACGTAGTGAGAACTGCACTAGAGGATCATGGATGTTACATTGCACGCTACCACAAAATTGATGAAGAGCTTCGAAACTCTGTTGTCTCTGCAATGGAGAGAGTATTTGTACTTCCTTTGGAAACGAGAAAACAAGAGACTAGTGACAAGCCTTTCCATAGCTACATTGGGCAATTCGCCAATTTTCCCCGCTATGAATCGGTGGGCATAGAAGATCCATTGACTATTTCTGCGTGTAAAAATTTCGAACACATAATGTGGCCACAAGGAAATGACCGTTTCAGGTAGGTGGTAACCATTTCCACGCACACAAGTCATTTTTAGATAAGGTATGCTGACCGTTTTTATAAATTAAAATTTTAAAAAAATTAATAATTTTTATTTTATAAAATCACTCAAAGATAAAGTGTAATTCAAAATGTTAATTCCATAAATCTTTTCTTTGTTATTTTATTTTAATTTTTTAGTCTTTTCTACAATTGTAGGTATATTTTTTAATTGCATCTCTTCCTTTATTTTTTTTTTCTCTATTAACAATGAAATTTTTTACTATTTTACTTTTTTTGTTTAATAATGTTTCATTCATTTGGACATTAATTATTTAGTTAACATAAAGTATAAACTCAAGTTTCAACAAGATAAAGAATTGCTTTTAGTTTGTAATAAAAAAAATTAAAAAATTAAAAATTTTGAATCTAAAACATACAAATTCACGTTTAAACATAATAATAAAATAGTTTTGATTTAGAATAAAAAACTCACTAGAAAAATATTTTTAAATTTTAAATTCGTAGTTCATACTTTGAAAAGCAGTCATACACGTTAGTAATACTTAGAGAGAAGTTATATGAACTGTTTTTTAAGTACATCTACTTTAGATAACAGTTAGGGATAGAAATAGTTTAAGTTAAGTTAAACTTTGCATAAATAGACCTAACTTATCTAACAATTTTGAAAACTGAGTATGACTTATTATTTGTCATAAACTTTTTATTAAGTCAAGTTTGGCCTTCTTAAAAGTCTGTTTTTCCTTATTTATTTTTTTAATGGTCTATTCTGTAGTGAAAATGAGTTACATAAGATATAATATAAACAAGTATACAAAAAGATAATGGATGAGATGAGGTGAACCAGCGATAGACGTAATTGTGACAATGTAAATGTAAATCAACATTATAGTATAAGATATACGCAAAAGACTCTAACAAACAAAGTTATCTCTTCTAGAGAGTATATAGTAAAGATACTCTTCAACTCCAATAAAAATAATTAAGATTTTTAATTTAAGATTTTATTATTTTAAAATTTAATATATTTAATTTATTATTATATTATAATTTTTATATAAAATTATTTAATATATTATTATAAATTTTATGAGTTTTAAATATGTTATTCTAACAGGTCTAATAGGTTTTTTCTTTAGCTTAATCTTAGCCTATTTAATTAATTAAGTTTTTTTAAAAATCTAAATTAAGTCTATTAATTAAATATCTAGGTTGGACTAAATTTTAAAAAAGTTAAGTCATAAACTCAAGTCAAATAGTTTGACTTATTTTCATCCCTAACAACAGTACTTATTAAAACATTTTAAATCACACTTTAAAATTATTCAAAATCACTCTCTAACCTCTTTTCTATCGTAGTGTGTTTAATAATTTTTTATAAAATATAAGATTAATTAATTTAAATGTTAATTTAACTATTTTTAATAGTATGTATGATTTAGTTGAAAGTATTTTATAGAAAAATTAAAAAAATATTGATCGGACACTTATTTCACCTATTCTACGTATGGGTGCACTGACTGAAAATGTGATCAATAAAAGAACTAATCTAATTTTAATTGTACAATTATATATAGACAATTAAGCTTAATTAGTCTCAATTAATTTTTTATGTATTATTTTATAACACGTGTGTGGGACATAAATAAATAATTATATCCTTCAATATTATCATAAATTATCAAGATTCAAGAGTAAAAAGTATGTTTTTTTAAAGTGAATTGTCATCTCTTAACATAAAAATGAACTTCAGGTATTGTAGCCAATTATCAATTTGTTTATATTACTGTGATGACATGTTATTGCTCACTGTAACGTGTTTTTTACCTCTTTAGTGAAATTCTCAATGAGTATGCGAAGCTGTTGGCAGATTTTGACGGTGTGACGAAGCGAATGGTGATTGAGAGCTATGGTGTGGACATGAAACACTGCGATTCTATCATAAAATCAACCAATTATCTTCTTCGCTGCTTCAAGTACAGAGTAACCCAAAGCGATGAGAGTAATTTGGTACTTAATCCTCACACTGACTTGAGCTTCACTTCCGTAATGCATCAGCTGAATAACATTAATGGCTTGGAAATCAAATTGAAGAATGGAGAGTGGTACAACGTTGATGCCTCACCCTCCTTCATCGTCGTCATGGCCGGCGATGCTTTTCAGGTGAGTCGATCACTTGTTGTTTCTTATCAATTTTTTAGTTGTTTTTATTCAGAAATCTAGAATTATTTGTTGGATAAAAGAAAATTAAAAAAAAAAACATTTGAGTAAGTCATTCGGTCGTAAAGGAACCTTGTCGGGGTAGATACATTATTGTGAAAAATGATATTCTTACAAAAGTAATTTTACAATAAGTTATATAAAAATGTAAAAAATTAAAATAATGTGTAACTTTCAACATATACATTTTTTAATTAATAAAACAAATAATGATATAGTTTTGTCTTTTTACACTCTTCTATGAATTGTCTTAAAAAAAAAACATTTATAAGAATATCTTACCTCTATTACCATGCTTTTTAACAGATTGGTATACACGTTATCTTTCACTTATTGAATAAAAAATATTCAAATTTATCTGTTTTTCAAAATTTTAATTCAATAATAATAAATCATTTTTTAAAAATATTCTTATAAAAAAAAAAATGATATGATTGGTTTGGTATACTCGTCTACAATTCACTAAATTTATGTATTTTTCCATGCTGCCATTTCAAGCCATTTTTATATAGTAAATAATGTTGTGCTATGATCATGGAAATTTTTTCATTTTATGCTAGGCTAATATAGCCTAAAATTTAAGTGTGCCTAGAGTAAATAGTCAAGATATTCTTAAAGCTTGCACAAAATTCTCATATTATTTCTCTCTTCTCATATATATAGTAAGTAACTTTTAAATAACTACTAAAGATACTCGATGTTATATTAATCAACCTAGTAATTGCCACGTCAGCCATTCGGGGGACAAAACAAGGCCAGTAGTACCTAATGTTTGGTAACAAAAATGCCATTTTGATTAGGAACTTAACATAAATTCATTTCATGGTCTAGTGTTGGAGTAATGGCAGGATACGTTCATGCGAACACCGAGTTACGATGAATGCGAAGAAAATAAGGTTGTGCATGGGATTCTCATCTTTTTGTAGTGAGATGATGCAGATACCAAAGGAGCTAGTTGATGAGAAACATCCCTTGGGTTATAAACCACTTGACCATTATGGGTACCTTCGTTTCTTTGAGAAAGAGAAAATCAAAGAAACAAATCCTCGATTAAAAGCGTATTGTGGGGTATAATACCTACAGTGATATCAAGAGTCATTATGCCAAGTTGTTCGTCGTTTTTCCTATTGCTCTTCTAATGCGAGTGCACTCTTCTTTTGGGTTACCTATTTTAATTTATGTATTCCCTACAAGTTCTTGTTAATGAATAAAGGCATATTTGGAACTCCAAAGTTACTTGTCCTGGCATCAGCATTCAGATGAATTGAATTGTATTCAGTGATTATTATGCTGTCGCAAGCGTATGCTTTTGTTAAGTAATAAAAGATGCTATCTTCTTCTCATAAGTATTATATTATTTCTTACCAAATATTCATGGTAATCATTTAAATGTATTCAATTAATATAGGTGGGAAATAATTAGAAAGTAAGAATAATTAGCAATAATACACTAAGGCTAGAAATCAATATTTACGAACCTTTTAAGAATTAATTAACTGTAATAAGAATTTATAAGAATAAAAAATAATCCTCTTGCCAAATCTTGAGTTATTATAAAAAGAAACTATCTTAAGTTAATTATTGTTCGATGGAAGTTATTTCTGACCGTATGAAGAACTTATTTGATGACTTATCCAATTTTAAAAGAGCATGAATTTTTTTATGCTTTAGTCGTATTGAAAAGATGAAGATAATTAAAGGCTTTTTATCCCAAAAAAATAAATTTTAAAATTCTATTTTTTTAATTTAGATATCTTTGAAAACTATTCTTTTGTTTAGACTTTTTTCTTTTGTCACATTCACAAGATGTATTCAACATGAGTTATATTAATATTTTAAAACTAAATATCGTATTTGTTAGAGTGATAATTATTTTATCATTAGTATATATTAGTATAAATATCAAGAAAAAAAATAAGAAATAATTATTTTTAAAAAAAATTTAATATTACATATATTATGATAATACTTGTCACACCATAATGCTACGCAAGTATCAATTTAAAAAAATAAAATTAGTTTGAAATGAATAGCTCAAAAAAAAAAAAATTATATGTCATAATCTAAATAAGTCTCGACTCTGTTAAGGCGATAACAGTCTCGCCTAATCGGTGGTGATACTTACCTATATTGCACCATTAAGCTAATAGCCACCGCAAGTTATTTTTTCCTAGCTATACCTTTTTCTCCTATTTTATATCATAGAAACTTCTAGTACTCTAGCATATTCTAACTAAATTTGTTGAGATTTTTTTATTTAGATAAATTTACTTGAGATTTTTAGTGTAGTATTTTGAGATAATTTATCTGTTAATATTTATTATTTAATTTTTTAAATTTTAATAATTTAAAATAATAATTTTGAATTATAATTTTGTGTCTACCTAAAATTTATGAGGAACTTATATAAATTTTCTTGTATAATGTTATTAAAATATTTTATATTTATTTATTATTTTAAATAAAATTATTTCTATTAGTGATTTATTTTTAAATTTAGTTGTTAAATATAAAATTATGGTATATTTTAGAATTATTTATTTATGAAAAAACTTTGACTCCTTAGAATAAAATTTTAAAATTAGTTATTTATGAAAAGATTAATATTCATTTTGTTAAAGATTAATTGTCAGTGAATGTAAATTATAAAATTTTGAGTGAAATTAAAAATAATTAAGAAATATTTATTGGATTTATTTTATAATATTTGTAAGTAACATAAATTTGAAATAAATATATTAATTTTTATGTTTTCTATTTATAAGAAATAAAATTATAATTGTCATAAACACAGTAAGTTATATTTAAAAAAATTATTAATAGGCAGATTATTTTAGGAATTGAAAGAAATAATAATTTTTAAAAGATAAAAAACTCTATTAAAAATATTTGACGATAATTTGAGTTGACATGATTTTAGATAAATAATTAATTTTGATTTATAATTGCTTGAGTTATTAGAATTAGGATTTTAGAAATATAAATTAAAATAATAATTATTTGAGTTGTTAAAATTAGGACTTAGAAATAAGATTAAGAAATTAAAAATATAAGATTAAAAGTTGAAAGTATTTAATTTTAATTGTAATATGAAATGTTTGTAAAAAAATAGTTGTAATAAGTTTAGTTGACATAATTTTCATTAAAATTAGAATTAAATTGACAATAATTTGAATTATTAAAATTAGAAGTTTTAAAAATAATATTAGAAATTATAAGATTTTGATTTTAATCGTAGTATTAATTGTTATTAAAAATAATTTGTAATAAATTTTATTTATAAGAACTCAAGATTATAGCGGCTGTACTCGGGAGCTTGGATTGGGTACTTGCCTATTTCAAGTGTTTGAACATTCCTATTTGATATTTAGTAAAATAATTTTTTCTTTTCCTTCTAATAGATATTTGTAAAATCAAGTTTTTTCATTGAAGACACCATAAATGAATACAATAAAATTTTTTGATACAATAATGAATGTTTTTTTGTGAAAAACTTCAAAGGTGAACTATCTCCAAAATTTGTTATGTTTCACAATTTTTTTTAATAATATTTATAATCTCTCTCTCTCCATATATATATATATATATTAATTATAATTTCATGATTCTAAATTTATTTAATATTATATTTTAGATTTAAATACCTTTTAACTATCTCAAAATAGGATTTATTTCAAAAAATTATCTCAATTTTTTTTTCATTTTAATACTTAATATTATCGTCAGTTAAATGGTAATGTAACTAACAATTTGCCACATTATCATCGATCTCTCTCATTCACCTTACTATTAAATCACTATGTTACAAAAAAAAATCTTTATTTTTTATATTAATGGATCATTCTCAATTGGAAGAAGGCCTTTCTTTCAACCGGCTCTCCACCTGCTACCTGGAAAGAAGATCCACCTAGTGAGCTTTCTTTCAGAACAATGAGGTTGCTTAAGTCTACCTTGTACTAGCTTACTTTATTTCTAAGGGTTAATGCTCATTTGGTGATTAGATCACTTGTAAAATCCAATGCCAATAAAAAAGTAAAGTCATCCCAGAAAAAAGTTAGAAAGGATAGAGGTTGCCCTTCTTTGGAGCGATCGGAGTGAGAATACTGTAACAAGCTTTAAGGGAGTAGGCTCGAGAAGGGAATCGATACCGGAGATTGATGACGAGCAACGGACAAATGACTGACTAGAATAATATTTTTTTCAATGATCAGCTAAACCTCTCCTACTTTCACTATTCTATTATATATAGAGTGAGTGACTTTGTACCTCTCCTAACCGAGAAAAAGAAGTTCCAGAGACATCCTCCATTCCTATCGATTTGGGTATTTTTGCACCATATTTGGATTTGCCTTTTCTTCGATGCAGAATTCCCAACAAATCCTTGACTCCTCAAATACAATGGATTTTCACACCTGGCAAATCTTTCACTCTACCTCCTCTTATTAACACCATAGAATGTTCCTACGAATTATGACCTTCGCTTGGAATGTGAGCAAATATATCATGTAGATTGACCAATCTAGAAGAAGGGTGGCTGTTGGTGGTGGTGTTGTAGATATTGGGGGTGGGGATGCTGCTGTTGAGGGTGGTGATGGTGCTATTGAGGGAGGGGATAAAGCACATCATTAAAACTAGAGATGTACATGGTCAAAGTACATGACCATGTACATGAGTGTATATTTTTCAGAAAAACTGTGAAAGGTAAATATTAGAGACTAGAGATGTACATGGTCAAAGTATATGGCCGTGTACATTGGATGTGTACTTTTAATGGTGAGGTGGATGAGGTTAAAATTTTAAAATGCTGATGTGAAATCTTGATATGGTGATTTAATGATGAGGTGAATGAGAGAGATCGACAATGATGTGGCAAACTGTTAGTTAGACATTAAAATGAAAAAGAAATAGTTAGGCATTAAAATGAAAAAAAAAAAATTGAGGTAATTTTTTGAAATTAGCCCTATTTGAAGGTAGTTGAAAAGTATTTAAACCAAAAATACCTAATTAAGGAAGAGAACATCCTGCTGTGATCCATCAATTTTCAACAAATTGTGAATTTGATGACTAATTCATTTAAAGATGATAATAAGCTAAAGATATTAAGGAGATTAATTCTGTCATGTTAAGGTAAATAGTAATACATGAATTTCTTTTGTTGCTTTACAATTTAGACTATGAAAGTTGCTCTTCAAGTGAGAAAATTGACACGATTCTTTCATATGCTTACTTATTTTGTTGCTTGTTTTATTTACTTGTTTGGCCAAAGATGGTGTTGGATGCATTATTTGTAGCAAAATTAGCTCATAAGAAACTTGAATTCTCCGTTTCGTCGCTTCTTACCAACCAAGTTGGTATAGAACATGACAAATAACTTCTTACCAACGAAACTGGCACAGAACATGTCATTAGTCCGAAAAATAAATTGAAGTATTAGGGTTGAGTGTAACGTCCTTATTTTATACAAAATCATAAGAAAATAAGTTATTAGTTTAAAAAATAATTAATTCAAATCTATTTGCGAGTTGAGTATGAAGCATGTAACTATAGAACATTTCATTGGTTTTACTTTATACTTATAAAAATTTAAAGAACAAATCTATAGAAATTAAATAAGTTAAAAAGGAAACATGAAATAACATTAATAAATATATGATTCTGAAGAGTTTACAGTAGACTAATCTTATCAAATATACATCAAAATACATTAGGACTCACTTTACAACATTTACAAAATACAAAATATGATAAGTCCTAATAAGCAGTATATCCATCACACAACCAGAGAGACACTAGTCGTCCCCGTGCCATCCCTCTATCATCACACTATGCCAGAAATGAGTTTTTGGAGCATTAATTTAGACAGCGGTTAGTAAAAATCACTTTGTAACTATATATTTAGAGAGCAGTTTCCTATTAACCGCTCTCAGATCTGTACTTCTGAGATTAACCGCTCTCCAAGAATGACTTTAGAGAGCGGTTAATAAAAAACCACTCTCTAAAGTCATTAAAATTATTTATAAATGAAACACGCTCAACGCATTTTTTCTTCTTAGCTAACAATGTTAGTCTCTTTT